TCTCACACAGTTCCCCAAAGCTGAGGTTTGTTAGAATTTGTAAACAAAGATCTTAAGAAACATTTCCTCCCCTTCTTCCAGTGATTTTGATCTAACTAATGTTTCGTCATTACAGAAATCACTCAGGGAGGTTCAGCAGATACTCAACTCCACAGAGGGAAACTTCCATCAACTGGTGGCACTGCTGAACTGCCGAGGTCTGAATAAGGTAACCCTCCCCCCTCCCCCCCCCCCCCCACACACACACACACACACACACACACACACACACACACACACACACACACACACACACACACACACACACACACACACACGCACACACACACACACACACACACACACACACACACACACACACACACATTCAGTTGACAACAATATATTGTGCAGCCCGAAACAGGGATATTTAATAACAGCTAATTACCCAACATGCTTCTTGACATATTCTGTGTTTTCTCCAGGACTACATCGACTCTTTGAAAGGTTTGTGCTATGATGGGATGGAGGGATTGCTCTACCTCTCCCTTTACTCCTTCCTCTCTGCGCTGGCCTTCACTGCCATCCTCTGCTCTCTGCCCGGCGCCTGGAGGAGCTTCCCCAGGTGAGGAGTGAGAACTATTTGTGTGGTGCATACTGTCGCTATAGGTGTTTCTTCTACCATCAGTTGTTACTGTTGACATTTTCACTCATTTATACGCTTTGAATTGCCTTGCATACACATTGCCAAAAGTAGTAAAAGACTCTGGGATTAATGTAGATTCATGTTGGTTTAAAGTTCCTGCATGCTATACAATGCTACATGCTGTACAATGTTAAAAAAAAAAGAGTTACAATTGCATGCCTAAAAAGATATACAGTAAGCTTTCTTCAAACAACTCCTAGATTAAATTTATTTCTCATTTTGCACATTCAGGAGTTTGGTAGAAGCGGCACAGGTTTGTTGGATCTGCTGAGAGCGGATTATTATTATGTCTATCCAATCAGGAATAGTGACAGAGAGAATCATGGAGGTGTGTTGTAAGACATCAGAACACATACAGCTATGAAGAGAAGAGGTAATAAGCACAGTGGTGCTCATCATCACTCACACGTATCCCTCTCTGTCTCTTTCATGGACGACCACAGTGAATCAGAGGAGTATGAAGACTCGGACAGCGAGAGTGAGGACCCCTTCACCTCCCATCAGGCACGTAGACAGACGGCCACGGGGTCTCAGCGAGGGGCCATCACCCCCTTCTATAATTACCCGGGTGCTGGGTGGACACCCCCCTTTTCTAGCGCGCCGCCCCTCCCGTGAGTAACACAGACACTCAGACACACAGACAGACAGACAGACAGAACGTCCCAGATGTTGCAGTCAGAGGTTGCTCTTGGATACAGTTTACGCACCGAGTTTGTGTTTCTGTGTCGAGATCTCTACCTCTGGGCAACTTTTATACTGATACTGATCAGGGATCGCAGAGTAAAGAACACATAGAGACACTTTTGAGACATTTTTGTGCAGACACATACTCTTTTTGGTGAAGGTACACAGATTTCCCCCTCAATACAGTACTTTATTCATGACACACCTACTGTTAGACACCCATCTTTACCAGAGAATAGTGTAGTATAGCCAGCTAGGTTCACACACTCTCTCCTCTACACAGACATGTAGTCCACAGAGCTGTTAGGTTCAGCACATGCATTGCAGACAGACACACAGACAGGTCAATATGGACTCCAGGGTAGGCAGAGAAACAGACACAACTCCAGAGGTCTGTCTGTCTGTCTGTGTGTCTGTCTATCCGTCTGTCGAGTGTTTCAGGACAGACGATATAGGCCGCTCGGTTCATTTCTCACAGATCTTGTCTCAAATGGCGTCCTGTCTCCTAAACAGTAGTAGAGTACTGCTGTGTTGGGGGGAGGGTGTCATTGACGAGGCCGCGCTCGTAAAAACTCCGGCGATGTGAGGCTCAGGTTGACCATATAGGTAACCCCCCCCCCCCCCCACCCCACCCACCTAAAAAAGACACCCTTCTGCCTCTGTCTCGCTCTCATCTGTCTCCTCACCGTGGTGTCCAAACTCTCTCAAGCTATCTCTCTGGATCTGTCCTTCGCTCTTTGTCATACCTCCTTCTCCCTTTTTGGTTCTCCCTCTCTTCTAGCTTTCCATTATTCAATTTTGTTTCCCCCTTTCTCCCTCACTGATGTTTCCAAGTTTAGTCAGAGCTCTGAGAAACATAATCGTGGATTATATTATAACTTCCTTCTGCTAATACCAGCTGGTCATCTTGACAGCTCCCCATATCTAATATTAACACAAAGATAAACACAAGCATACTGACAAAACCAAAGTGTCAAGGCTCAGAAACTCAGCTAGCTCTAAACATACAGTCCACTCCTCTTAAATGACATCTGCTCGGGATTGCTTTAAAAGCTTTCTGGGGTTTATCAGGCAGATAAACAGATTCATTAGGAAAACAACATTACAGCTGAAATGGGACTGGTGAGTCACACCCAGCTCTAAATGCATGTAATTGCAGATTATTGTACGAACCCTGCAGTGCATCATCAGTCAGGAGTGGACTGTACGGCTCTCAGTAGTAATAATACCTACTAGTTTACTAAGTGCTATATTTCTAACCGCTCTTTCTCCTTCTTTCCTGTTACCTGTCCTTGGCTCCTGTCACCCCGCGGCCCCCGTCCCGTCTGTCTTTCTCAATGTGTCTCACCCCTGTTTCCCTCTCTCCTTCATCCTCGGTTCCTCCTCTCCCTCTCTCCTGTCCTTGTCTCTTTCTATCTCTATACAGGACTCCAAACGTTTCCTCCAATGGCAACCCTGGCTATGAGAGCCTACCCCTGACTGACAGGCAGTCCCCACCCCCCTCTGTGAGTCCTCTGTACTTGTGACGCCATCGCAGTGCCATTTTATCTCTGCTGTTAGTGCACACGCTCGCTTTATAATCAGTATCAAACGGACTAATATGGTGACCTCGCAGGACCCTGTGGGCTGGCCTTTTCTTTTCTTTTTTTCGATGCTTCAAAACCCGCAAAAACATGAATTTACATTTTGTCACTGTTACTAATTTGTCTTGTATGTATTCTTATCACTATCTGGCCATTTTACAGAGCAACTTACCTTGAAAACAACTATTTAAATGAAGATAATGATGAATGTGAAATGTGCAGCTTTCAATAGCATCTCATGGTCATTCCCTGAGGAAGTCTGTATATACATAATGTATGACCACATGTTAACTCGGGACTAAACGTACAGTCTCATGACAACTTAGCTCTCTCCATGACAGGTGGACTCCATTCACATGCAAGACGTGATGCAGCTAAAAGCTTCAGGAAAGAGCTACATATAGAACAAAGTTAGAGGATCCCTCTCAGCTTTTAGTTGCATCTTACAATGTTCCTCAGCAGATGGAGTCTGGAGTTTAATCCCCCCCCAATGAATTACTAATACATAACATGACCAAACTCTTGTGTTATAACAAATTAACTACATCCATGAGTAATGAGAAAGCTGCATGCATGTAGGGAGACTTGATGCAGCTGAAATCTGGAAAAAGCTAGTAAGTGGACTTTTGTTGTCAAAGTAATGCACATATTAAGAACTAAGGAGGGAATCAAGTGAAGCGGTATGAGCTTTACTTCTTTTTCCTTTAAGATTTCAAATGATGCTTTGATGTATTAAAGCCTGATGGTCAGATAGTGAATAAGTCATGTCCTGCTGTCCTGCTGCCTTTGAGTTAATGCTGTGTGTGAATAACAAATGTTGTTCTCTTCTCGTTTATTTTCTCTCAACACTCCTTTGGACATCTGAACCTGTCTCCTGTTGTCTCCCATCATCTGTTCGGGGCGTGCAGTACTCTCCCAGCATGCTGACTGGTTACGGGGGAGGTCAATCACACCCCAACCCCGCCCATTCGAGGAACCTGTATTCACGTTGATTATTATTTTTTTGTTAGGAAATGTATAGAAAAAAATCTGTTTAGTTTTCATATGAATGGACACTTTACTGAAATGAAAAAGAAACTAATCTAAATAAAATGAATGCTAGGTGTGAATTCAAAGTGCATAACGTCAGTACCACTGAGTATTATTATTAGAAGCACTTAAAAGAAACAGGTCCAAATGGACTGTTGATATAACCGACAATGATATACTGGTATATGGTTGTGCAAATATGAACCAAGTCCACTTGTTCTAAATTATTTCCCCTCGTCTGTCCAAACTCTGTGTAAACTGTGAACAGTGGTGAGGCAAGTCAGAATGGTATTGACGTTACTACGTTGTAGTTTTATATTCTTAAATGTATCAGTACCACCAATTTATTTTTAAGTTTTTATATAAATATTGTTGTAGAAAAGCACTGGCACGTAGCAACAAGACACTTTTTTTTCTTCTGTGAATGGTTAAGCAGTTCCCTCACTTGGTATCATGTTTTTTTATTATTACTTTTTATAGGTGGCAATTCTGTATTTTCCTTGTATTACCTAATGGTATTCTGTATATGTCACTGTCTATAATATCTGAATAATCATGAACATTTGCTCTTTAAAAAAAAATACTTGAGGGCTACCAAGAAGACCCTGTTTTAATGATTGAATGGAGAACTACAACTGCCACTAAAGAACTACAAATCCCATGCAATGATAGCAGGTACATAGCAATATGATTCTTGCTACTGGCGCTGCAGTAGCCCTACCGTAACTAGCAATAATAACTATGTATAGCATTGGGTTTCTGAGATCTCTCCAAGAGGTTTTGTGTATATATGGTCTGGTATGAGATTTCATTGAATCCCCCCTCCCTGCCAACTGACCTTGTTAACCCCTTGAATTGAGTTTGTATGGTTATCAATGCTCCTTTTGAATGGCATCCTTTTACACTCAAGAGTCTAATATAAATAAAAAATAACTTCAATAACCTTCAGCTGGTCTTCATGGTGTCTACGAGTCAATGCAATGTATGTAACAAACACAAGGCTTTACAGAGACAAGAGATTCATACTGAAAACAAGAGGTCAAAGTTTAATATAAATACGTTTCACTATAATGAACCTCTGAGCTTGGGTTTATGTGTGAGTCAGTCACACATGTGTACCAGAGACAGCGCTCCTACTATTTTGGATATGCATAGATCAATAAGAGAGATACAACACAAACGTAGAGTTTACAGTCACAGAAACAGTGTTTTTGCATGTTATTCAAAGACTAATCAAGAATAGTGTACTTTATATTCCTGCAACAGTTCCTTTCAGATTTAAAATAAGACTACCTTTCTAACATCTTTCATTCATGATACAGCTGTGTAAAACTCAACCTGAAGATACTTTCAATCTGCACTCATTGGCAGTCCATCCTAATGAAAGTGTGGATCAGCTGCACACTTCACACAAAATGAACATCACTTTGACAAAAGCAAATGGAGGGTCACAAAGTAATTGTGATGGATAACAGCTCTTAACCAAATTAAAAAATCTTTAAAAAAGGAAACACGTGTCAAAATCCCAAAACTTTGGCACGCTATAAAAAGTGTCTACAAGGTTGCAGTGAATGTACCAAAACATGCAAAGACACTGGAGGCCCTTATATGCCTCATTAGGTGGAACCATTGGAGTACCTGTGAGAACAAAGACAGGGCTAACAAATCAAAGTCAGTGCATAGAAGGTTTACAACAACAGTTGTGGGAAGAAACGGTGCGGCTTGATAACTTATACATTTGACATGACCGTCTTTTACGCACAGTACAAACTGATCTAATTTTGGCGATTAAATTGTAATAGACTAAAACATTTAACCCTTTTTCAACTAGTCTCTATTGCAGATGTTTTTCCATCACACACACACTGCAATCTTTCCTAACAGAGACATTTCAGTCATTATCACATCTCAAATGTCATCAAACAAACCAACATTTGCCTCAAACTTTGTAAGCTTAGATGCACCTTCCTAGTGTTAAAAATAAAGGTACCGAGAGAAGGACAACGCAGGTACAGGGGTCATATAAGAGCAAAAGCGTTTACAGCGGCTACAATCACAACAGTTCTTCATACCAGGAGTAACGCCCGTCACTGCTTCTCTTTGGAATTGTGTAGATATTAAATGTATTTAGTGCATTCCCTGAAGATTTTTCTGTAAAAAAAAGTCTGTCATCATCCCAGAGGATATCTTTTTCCATGCTATGTAAGGGTATGTCCAAGGCATCACTTCTTAGGGTTGTCCGAGTTCAGCCATGAGCCGTCCTCCTCCACTTCCCGCTGGACGACCAGCAGCATCTCTGCCACGTCCTGAGAAAGCTGTTCGCTGAGAAATGTGCTGCACAGAAACAATGACGACAACAGGGAAAAAGTTAGAACAACATGGACACAGACAGAGGGCAGAATACTGCAGCGCTCTAACACAAACAGTGAGGTAAGCCCCATGTGACCGCTCATATGGGATGACTCACATGCGGCTCTCACCCAGAACAGACATAATATGTCTGCTCTGAACGGACATTTTGAAGATGTGAATGCGCATTCTTACCGTAGTTCTGCCTCTCCCCCAATACAGAGAGGGCTCTTCAGTTTGGAGTCCAGGTTGTAGTACTGTCCGTTGACTTGCCGAACCGCGAGCCAGTGCCGCCGTCGGAGTGGGAGGGACACGATCCCCAGAGACACCCGGGATGGGACATTAAGAATAAAACCATGGACCTTTGACATGCAAAGGCTCTGAACCGTCCTGTATTAAAAAAGGGAGAATGGAAGTATCAAACAAGATTTCCACCTTGAGATCTCCTTAGTTATCTATCTGTTATGTTTAGTATGTTCCATGGTGGACTGTTTCATTAATTCACCTGAACCTGGTTTAACAATTTCCCCAAATAAATGCCTAATACATAGCTGTAGATAGTTAGGAGTGTAAGCAAAAGATGAGTCAGGCCTCATATTTACAGCGCAACATGCCTTGGGGTTGCATTGCATGATGGTCTAGTATTATGGCCTACTACTTGTGCAGAAATGGGTGTTTCCATCTGTCTGTGAGACTAAAAAGATATATAAATATAACTTTTCCACACATTTCTCAGAAAAAATGTCCTTCTGTAACTAAAGACAGCTTTGACTAATCTCTATGTGTACATTTAATATTGAAATAATTATTTAAATAAGTAATGCATATCCAAATACAGTAAGTAATCTGTGCTTTGGTGTGGACCGCGTCTCAAACACAAAAAGCTTGAATTGTTTCCCCTGGGCTCAAGACTCAGTGTGTCTCACCTGCGTTTGTCCCACCACACTGCAGCCAGTTCCCGGCTCTGTAGGGCCGCCATGATGACGTTGACGTCATAGTTTCCTGTTCCTAACACTGAGCGATGAGGGTTCACCACACACTGTGGAGCCAGCCTGCAGAAAAGGAGCCATAAAGCATATTAGAGACAAAAAAAAAAAAAGTATTTGTTGCAGCCACGTTTTAATGTTGTCCTATTGCTGCCAGGTCTGTTGGCACCATATGGTATTTTCTGCAAATACATCTCCAAACTCAGGGCTTAAATCTAGAGCCCAATGTAATGGTTATGTAACTGGGATACAGCTACATGTTATATTTCTAAAACGGCCCTTCATTTTAATAAAACATGTTTCCGTGAGTTGAGTAAGTCACAGGGTTTAATTAAATAGGGTAAATTATTTCGCCAAGATCACAAGCTTCATGAATCATCTTGTTTCATAGTCCATTCAGTTAGTTAAATACTTCCTTAACAACAGTCACACTAAATGACATTGCTCTTTCAGTGTGAAATTGTGCCACTGATGTTTTTTCCTGAGGGTTAATGCTATATAACACAAAACAATAAGAAATCCTGTGACTGGTTCATGTCGGTTATGTTACGACCCTGGGTCGTTATGTCATTTGTGTGCAGATATTCTTCCCTCCTCCTGTGTCTGTGAGTGTGTGTGTGTGTGTGTGAGTGAGCAAGCAGGTGGTGCCTGTTAGCTGATTAGCTAACTTCAACATGCTGATTGGTCCACCTGAAGAAGAGGGGAGCATTTAAGCTGTCATGCAGTCCCTCTGCCCTCTCTCTGACTCGACTTCTCCTACTCCCAACATTGTTGCGTTTATATCTGTCCTGTTGTGGTCCTACTTATACCGTATACTGGTCCTCTTGCTTGTCTTCAAAACCTCAGAAAAGAAACTACTTTAACCTGTCCTTGTTGGACACGCTTTAATTTATGCGAAAGTGTGAAACTCTTTTCTTTTGGTTAATTCTCGTTTTCTCCTGTTTATACGTCAGAGTAGGTAAGAAGCCTGTACGTTTATTTTTCTTATTGGTTAGGCAATATTTTTGTGTTCAGAGATTTGTTTGTTTTGTGGGTTGTTGCGCTTCTTTGTAAAAAAACGTTGGTAATTAAATTTACCAAACGGCATTCTCTGTCTCGGTGTCCATGTTCTTGGGAGTGGGGAGAGTGCAAATGTTATGCTGCGCCTAGGTTCCCCTAGACCTGGGCGTAACAGTTAACACACTATATCTGAAACAAATTCAGGTTATGAACAACATCCTTATGTTACTTGATAGTGAAGCCACATAGTGTTCCCTTCCATGTGTTAACAGAGAATGACTTTTGTGTTAACATTTTTTTAAATGCATTTCTTTAAACCTGTTATAGAGCTGCAGGTTAGAAATTCATAGGTATTTTGTGAACCATCAGACTTCCATAAATCAGAAGATTAAAATGTTTGGGACAAAACAAAGAAACATACTCTTTGACGGGCAGTGTAACAATTGCAAATACCATATTTATTCAATTCAATTTATTTTCAAACGTAATTAATTACTTCATTATTTTCCTGATGTTTATGTATTATAAGCAAATTAATATTCTTTAAAGATTATATATATATATATATATTTAATAGCATATCTTATCTTAGTGTATTGAAATGTTTATGTTCTTTTAGTAATGCCTCATTTTTGTTTCATTTTTTTTGTATTTTTGTTATGAAATTATGTTTTGGAGGGTACTTCAGAGCTATACACAACACAATCTAGAAAATATTCGGTTATTTTATGTTATGATACCTAATGTGTTTCGCATGCATATTTTTAACTTGCTTTATATAAAGGAGTTAAATGTGTTTTAGCTCCATGACAAGACACACCGACGTCTCCTCCCAAAGTTACCCTACCGTTTGCAGATGTCATCGGCTGTCTCCTTGGTGAACACCCGCTCCTGGAGCACGTTGTTGAGAGCATGGATCGCACACAGCTCCAATCTTTGTTTCTCATGAAACACTTCTCCTTCGCTCATTCTAAAGCTAAATACACACAAAGAAAACAGAAAATAAACAGATAAACATTAGCTGTGATAGTTAGCTTAGTTGCTGTCCCAGCACAGTCCATTCATGCTAACGGTAAGTTTAGAGTCGTTAGCTTACTGTAACGGAGGCTAAACCGTGACAGCCCGCTGGTTATACTCTGTGTTCGGACAGCAAAACAACGGCAAAGTGAACTATTATTAATTGACAATAGCTACATGAAGCTACTGACCTGCTGATAAAGCGCTTCCCCGTTTTTTTCAAAAAAAGATGCTGGAGTCTGACAGCTACATCCAGAAACCGGAAGTAGATCCGTTGTTTTTGTTGTGATGTGCGGGTGTCACACCCATGTATGGTATTCTCAACAAGAGTGCAAAAAAAATCCTCTTTTCCCGTCGTTTTGGATATTATATCCGTTCAAATATATATACAGTTAAATAAACGTCATGAAGTTATCTTCTAACGCACACTAACGTTCTCAGTCCACCAGTCTGTGCACGTTGTGTTGAAGCGCCCCCTAGTGCCGAGCCTGCTTATTATGGTGGTGATTACATTATGTTGAATACAGGAAACTATCCCACACATTTGGAAACATCTGCAATATCACATTTAAAAAGCTTTACTTATGTCTAATGTTTTATTTGTTAATGTGTCAAGTTCATTTTTCTTCTGTAGCTCAATTCATTACTTAAATCAGTCAGTTTATTGAACAACAAAAGAGTAATAATCTTTTGCTAAATTATGTAATATTTTTTCCCTGAAACATCTGACCAATTATCCTTATAACTTCATATGTAATTGTCTCTCATTTGTTCTCATTTTATGCACTTGTGTACATAAAGACATATATTGCATACTTCACACTGCTTTTATAAAGTGTTATGTGTTTAAGTTTTTTTTAATGTTATCTTTGTTTTTCCCAAAACAAATTCAAACAAATGACACACAAAAACATTTAAATGTATGTACATTGAGTGAATTGAAATGTAACAAAATACCCTATTGATACATAAATGCTGTAATACCACATTTACATAGTTATGACATAAAATAAATCAAACAAAAACACACAAACAAAACTATGGCAAAAGCAAACAAAATCAGATAGTTTGTGTGTTGCCATTTAAAAAAAAAAAAAAAAAAAGTGTTTAATTCTGAATAGTATAAGTAATATATATGAGAATATTGCTTGAAATGCACAATACGATACTAATGCCAAAGTGATGTTAGTATTAATTGTATGGTAAGTAAAATTAGAGTAAATGTAGTCCACATTGCACAGCTTAGATATATGCTGCTAACGGGTGAAATAGTCAAAGGTCCAGTCTATTGACTCGGAGTGTCTGAGGCTCTGAAGGCATCTCAGATGAATGAGTCATGTATTGAATGTTCTCCTTTGTTCAACCAGCACATCATTGAGTGGGTGGGAGGTATTGTCCAATATGACATGTACCTTGGACAGCATCTTCCTCTCTGACCCTGTCGTCAAGCTCCACTCCAACAACGTCACTGGTCCTGCAAATCGGTGTGTTGAGTGTGTTGACATTCATTACGCTCATGCACACAACAGCAAACAGCATAACCCTGTCTCAAAAGATAGAAGGCACATGTGTGTATGTATGTACACATACACACGAGATTGTATATGATGCTGTATTTAACTGAATTAGTTCATATTTCTTGTGATGTTGTATGAATATGTATGAATAAACCTGTATTCTTCTATTGATTGATGTTTAAATGTGTTATATAGCTTTATAAATTATGTTTGATTTGATTTTTCCTAGAACTGCTCCTCTTTAGATGTGATATGCAATACATTTGATTTTAAATGTTTAATTGTATTTTACTTATAGGCTATGAGGTTTATCTTTTCAATACTGTTCAAGGGTGGGAGTGAGTTTTTCAAACAGACCAATGGCTGAATAGCATCAGTCGTAATTTCGACTCGGATAGGCTGAGAGGGCTTCTAGCTGTGACGCAACGACAATAATGTATCATGATTGGCTCAAGGTCCCTGACGTGTAAACTAACTAAGATGCCCATTGGTCCATGGTCGTAGGTTAAACTGGGGATTGTATTTTTGTTCCTGTGTCAACGAAAAGAAGAAAAGAAGAGTAGCCAGTCAGACCCGGCTAAGTTTCATCAGAGATAGTTTTTTCACACATTACGGAAAGGTCTCCTTGTATCTGATAATAGCCATACATCCAACGCCTTAGAAGAACTCCTTTTGAAGATGGTAAGTCTGCTAGCCGAGTGTATTGCTACGACCAATGCTAGTAGCTGCTAGCTTGATCCGACGTTTAGCCGTCGCCAGCCGTCGAGCTTTTCATTTTGGTTGTGTCTACTTGCTGGAGTCTATGACCTTAATTAGAAATCGTCATCTACATTTGCATAATGTAATAGATAAACTGATTAAAGTACATACTGTATCATGCATTTCAAATAAACCGAGTGGCGTGTATATTAACGTTATCAGATACATGCTAGGCTAGTATCGCTAGCGGTACTGAAACACTAACGTAACGTAAAAGTTACCCTACGAGAGGAGAGTCTTTAACAGATGTACAATAACCCTACGAGTATACAAATGTTCCGTGGCTCTACTGATTGTATAATTGCCTGATTGTCTTATGTCAAACAAATGAAGTTATTTTTAAACTTTGTTTTTAGAGTTATGGGATGCTTTAGTGGTGTAAGAGCTGTGTAGCTCAACCTTAACGTCTCAATGTCTTTATTGTTAGGAGTTGAAATAATTATTAATACATAATGAAAAGCAAACGCATATAGATAACCCATTAACTCACCTAAAAGCCCATCAATTTGTATGTTAACCGCTTAAAAGGCAAACGATTCTCAATAGATGGTCAATGTGACTAAGGCCAGTCGCATTTTATTAATCTTTGTCTAGGTTTTATTGATAAAAACACTGATATTGAACAATGTGTTATTAAAAATGACAGTTGCGTCGTTTTTGTCAATGTGTTAAGCTTAACAGATTGATCGTCAAATTAATTTACCAGTTTTCGTTTTGGCACTTTTTTTGTAGGAAAAATAGAAATGCAGGTGCAAAACAGGTGTCCTGTAATGGAAATAAGAACACGATGAACTACTTTGTATAGTCTTTTTGATACGATGTAGGATACAAAATGCAACTCATAAGCAGTTCTAAATAACATTGACCGCCATTTAGTAGTAAAATTAAAATTAAAACTCTTGGAATTCAATGTTCTCAACTCTTGAGAGTCTGAGTTTACATAATGCACACTGGAGGTAACATAACCATCTTTCTGTCTCTGTCCAGAACTCCAATGTGGAGAATTTGCCTCCTCATATTCTTCGCTTGGTCTACAAAGAGGTTGCAGCGTTAGCAGCAGACCCCCCCGAGGGTATCAAGGTTTATCCCAGTGAGGAAGACATCACTGAGCTCCATACAGCCATCGAAGGACCAGGTAAGGATCGCAAAACTGTCGTACCAAACTGGCATCAGCCATTATAAGACAATAAATAAAATAAAAACAACTTTGTATACGTGTTCACAAGGTAAGAAATGTTGCATTATTAGACATTAAACAGTCTTCAGCAGAGAGAGATATGTCCTCTGTATTGTCTTTTATTCATTTCAAGCTCTCACACAGCTGTGCTTTTCACATCTTAGTTTTTGGTTTGGATTTATTTCTGTTGTTTCTGTCCGTTTCAGATGTTTTCTTAGGATATTATATGTCTGAAACCCTGGTCAAATGGAATTATTGAAAAGTCAATACTGAACATGCATTTTTACATTTTTATCAATTGCACCTGCTTTCTATCTGGTTACAAAAACATCATTCTTGATGAAGATACTTCAAAGGTCCACTTAAACAAGAGCTATGCCTCGTTCAGACAGACCATGAAAGATTTTCTGTTTTACGTAAGTTGACTCAGTTGCCGCTCCATGACCCTGTTTGTTGTTATGTAACAAGTATCGCAGTCAAGACATACTGTCCATGAGATTAATTCTTTATGCTTTGACAGAGGGAACTCCGTTTGCTGGCGGCGTTTTCCGAATGCGTCTGGTCCTCGGGAAGGACTTCCCTGCGGTTCCACCCAAGGGGTATTTCCTGACCAAGATTTTTCACCCTAATGTGGGTCACAAGGGAGAGATCTGTGTCAACGTGTTGAAGAGGGACTGGAAGGCAGAGCTCGGCATCAGACACGTCTTGCTTGTAAGAGGAACCATCAGTCTTTGCAGTTCTGAGTGTTAGCTGCGCTGCTGTCACTATTTTTACATTTCCATCTCCTTTATTTCCCCACAGACAATCAAGTGTCTTCTCATCCATCCGAATCCTGAGTCCGCTCTGAACGAAGAAGCCGGGCGTTTGCTGTTAGAGGACTATGCAGAATACGAGTCCCGCGCTCGTCTGCTCACAGAGATCCACGCCATGGGCCCTTCTGGGGCCCTTCAGGACCCTAACGACGGCCCCCAGCCAAAGAAGCACGCAGGTGACCCCATGAAGAGAGCTGGACCCAGCGCAGCACCGGTGCCAGCAGCTCTGGGCAACGGAGCGAACGCAGCCAGTACCACCAGCAATAGCAACAGTAGCACTAATAACGTAGCAGGGAAAAAGAAAGCAGATAAAAAGAGGGCATTGAGGCGACTTTAATACCTCTGCAAAATTCTCAGTGTGTGTCTGTGTGTGTACGTGTGAGAGCGAGTGTGTGTAAATATAATTATTGAAGTTTGCTTACAAGGTTTTTGTTCCCTCTTTTTACCACCTATTAAGACTTTCCACTTTGTACTCATACCTTAGCTTCTGTTTTGCCTCCAGTTTGTCCTGTTGGCATAACAGCTTTGTTAATTATTTCCATACCGAATGATAAAATGTTTGTTACTCTTTTAAAGGAAAGACAACTCCTTAACTGCGGAAATCATGCCATCCGTTGTATTTTGCCCTCGGCCTTTTGTGAATGAATGAGACAGGGAAAAGGTTTCACTGTGCAAATCATGGCCTCTAAAGTCTGTCCAATGAGATCTACCTACTATTGTCTCTTTTTAAAGTGTTTCCTGGTAAATGCTGCTGTGATAGTACTGTGTACTGCACAGCCAGGCTTAACCAAGATGTTGTTTTAAATAAAATGAGCTTTTCAAATTGACATCAGTGGAAATAATGGTAGAAGTTGTTTGTTAACTGAAACATATTTTTAAATAGTATTTTTCATATTGCTATCTGGATGAAGTAAAGGTATGGAAATACTTGGCAGTGGAGTATAAGAAGTCTGTTATGTGGTTCATGGAATCTCAACCACTTTTTTTATGTTAATATTTTCTAAAATGGTTTCTCTGTCTAGTATTTTCAAAGGTTATTTATAATCGACATCTTGTGGTTGTGTGTGAAGACCTAGATCAGTGGCTGTAAGGGAACAGTAGTTTGCCAGACTACTTTATAGAAAATGAAATATCTATTAGTTGTATTATAAATGCAGTGATGAGACTCACCCCTGCTTCCATACAAAGCAGTGTGTGTCTCAGGTACCCAGCTCTCCTACCAGCCATGTGGATACCTGAGGAGACAGCTGTACGACAAAGTCCACGTTTGATAGATCTTGTCTCCCCACTTGTAGCACTGTTCGGGTTTTCTGGGCAGGTTTTCTTTCCATACTAAATGCATGCAGGGCTTACATTTCCCAAGGAAACACACTGAAGCACACTGTCTTAATTTGGGTGGAAAATGTGCCTCTGAATCACCTGTCACTGCAGATTGTTGGCTGGATATTTTGTGTCCATTTAAAATTATTTAAATTAATAAAACATTGAAATACAAGAAGTTAAATGAGCAAAATGAGTCCTCTTATTTTGGGTTCTTTGCCTGCATAATAATGTATTCTAACATAACCTTATCTGTTCTGCAATAATAGGTGAATGGATACGGCTCTTACTGCTCTGTGACGTACAAAAGCACTTTATTTACCATATAGAAGTCTCCTGTTATGCAGTGATGGAATGACCATTATGAAAAATCTGTAATTGCATCCACCCCAGCAAAGCAGTGAGTGAAAGTGCACCCGGTAGAGCGTCATTGGCCCATAATGAAGGGCTCCACCAGCCTCTGTGCAGACGTGCAGCAGCCCATCCACCCACCTGTGTAGAAATAGCAGCCTGCAGGTAATTATCAGACCCTTCATCGACACCTGGGGATCCACATAGCTCTTACCAAAGCCTCGTCTTAGAACCGTTTACCTCCTTCCCTAATCTCTATGTCTACCAATACATGCTTGTCATTTTCCTTGCTGTTATAAAAAAAAACACATGTGTTTTTTTTAAATGTTCAATTATATGAATCTTCGGTCGGTGTTGTATAAGAGAATGCATGCTGGCTTTCCTTTTTCACTACAGTGTAATGCTATTAATTATGATTCATCCTGTAGGCCCGCAATGTGTGATCACTAATTCAATTGATGTAACACTCCTCAGTTTGAATCTGCAGAAAACCCAAAATCCGGTTTCATTCATGTGCTGTGGATGTGAGGATCGTGAGGAGGCAGTGACTGTGACGGTGGCATGAAGCCAAACAAATGCCAACTTCATCTCTGACACAGGACTGCATCACTGCGTGTCCTTCACATCACTCCTACCTTCACGTTACATCTCCATGCGTCCTGCTCGTCTTTAACTTGAAGACATCTCCATGCACGTCCGGGTCTAATTGACAGTTTCGTTCACGCTCCAGTGTTACAGCTTTTGCGCCAATCCTCTCCCCTTCCCCGTTTTCATCGCTTTCATAATTGCCACCAACATAATGACACAGTTGCTGTGGCAACCATGTCTCTCTTTTTCTCTTTCTCTATCTCTCACACACACATTACACACACACACACAAAGAAAACACACTTTGGATCTCGGATTTCTTCTGCTGAAATTACCGACTGCTTTAATTTAATTATGTTAAGTTTTCCTCCACATTTTTAAAGCTTGTTCCAACTCTGCGTTTTACTTTTATGATTAGCTACGGAAGCTCATTTCCTGACATTATTTTTTTTTCAGAGCATGTTTAAAGCAGATTTTCAGAGTCAGTCAATTAAAAACAGATTAAATGGAGGGGAATAAAGATGCACGCCACCAGTTGAATGGGCCTAATGACCATCCGCGCGGAGCCTGATCAGTAGTTGTCTGATCGACCAATCACAGAGCCCCCCCCCCCCCACCCCTCCCGGCAGACTAGTCGCAGTTAGGCGGTGTAACCTATCTCGCCTGGAAACTATGAAGGGAACCAGCTTCACTCGATCCTAGATGGAGAAAAGTTAAATTGGAGGATTTTTTTTTATTTGGTGACGCGTTTCGTTATTTTGACCACCTGCATTTCGGCGTGTTCTCCGGGATAGTTGCACAATAACTTGTGCTGTAGGCTACAACAAACGGAATTTTCCAAGCCTGTAGTTTTATTGCCTTGTCACATGTCTCAGAACATCTCGTCGGGCTCTCACTCTCTCTCCTGCTCATGTTTTTTCTCTCCTTTTGCCAAGATATTGGATTACCAATAGCCTGATGAAGACACATCATAGAGAGATGCAGCACTGTTAAAAAAAACAACCTTTTAAACAGGTGGCAGATCCAGCAACAGTTCAAGCTGTCCTGATCATCCTGTGCCACAATAACAGGCTGCCATCTGAGAGACGCTGAGATACAGTGCGCAGGCTCTCAGTGCTATTCTACACCATCAAACCCCAGAGCAACGCACAGGTAAGACACGACATTATGCACCTTCTATTCATGCAACGCCAATTTACCTAATTACACGTACAACTGTTTGATAGCTTCATTGTGTGTTTCTGTCTGTATGAAAAATTGAGTTTGGCTTGTGTTTAGACGCATCAGCTGGACACTGTCAAACAAAACATTTGGATGAAAGCTGCGCCACAGAAACATCTGTAGGCTTTGTGCTGGGCAGGCGTCGTTTTCATCACTTAGACACTTTAATTGACTGCACATTGCGACATTATCATCATATTGTTATTTAGACCGACATATCCAACCGGACTACACACACACGCACAAACACACGCACCGGCACGGATACACCCACGCACTCTTAGCCTGCTAATACATGCAAGTCATTTCCATAACCCGCATGCTTGTCGTTTGCAAATTGCAATTTATTAACCTTACGAAGTATATGGATTGTAATCTGAGTTGTTGTCCAAATGCAAAGTCATTGCGCAGCAGATATTTCACTGATAAGAAGGACTGAAGCTGCTCTCAGCTGTTTCCCCCGTAATTAATTGTCCATTTGCATCAGCATGACTGGTATTTAGGTGTTTTTCGCTATTGATTTACATCGTTTTTGCAACAGCGTGTTTTAAGAAAAAAAAGGGGCCATTTTGTTTCATTTCCAACAAACACCTGTTGAAATTGTTGCATGTCCAGCCGTCTGCACAGCCGGCTTCATGCAATGGAAGTAAAGGGAGCCGTTTGGTTCATTTGCGTGGATAGAATTGCTTGCAGTGAAAGGAAACAGTGGAAATGTGTTTTTCTCCCTCCAGTGGCCGTGCAACCCAGGGATGCATCTTCACAGTTCTGAATGTGTTGCCCTTCACCCTTTAGTTCCCATGCTCACTCTATCTCCCTCTCTACTGCATTGCTTCAACAGCACAGCATAGAAAATGCCTACAGGAAAACATTTGATATTTTTTCTACGTTAAGTCACTTTGCTGGACAGATGTTATATCAGACTTAACAGTTTTGGATGCATTTTTTAAAATTCTTATCTTGAATTTCCGTTTGTTGTATTTGCACATATTCATCGGGGAGTGGTTTGGACATATTGGCCAGAAAATCCTCATGTCATAGTCAGAGCACAAAATATGGTAATGGAAGTTAAGCGGCGAGGCATCAGGGTCATCTTGTTGAGCAAGAGACGGTGCAGATGTGACTTTGAATTCTGGTTTGTCTAATGGGTGTAGATTGGATTCTGCCTCCCTTCTCTTTCACTGCCTCTTTCACTCACACACAGACAGAGCTGCAGTGCTATTCTGAGAGAGTTAGCTGCCTCAACCCACGCACAGAATCTGAGAAAGAGAGAAAAGGCAGAACGAAGGAGAAAAGAGGAGAAGGAGGGAGCAAGAGGAATAAAGGAGAGAGAAAGAGACTGCTACATTAGGTTTACAGAATGTACTACAGTCTCTCACATGCACACAAAGCCTTTTAACAGTTTCACATGATCCCTCTTCAAATGTTCCAACAGCAGCTGATTTACAGTCTTCATCTGCACTCTTCTTGTGTGTGGCATTGACTGTATTTGCAGATCTGCTTGGCTGTGCTGTTTGTGTGATGTTCTATGTTGTATTGGTAAGTGCTGGGAGAAATGTACTTGATTCTGTGCCACCCACACACCGCCCTCCCACTCATGGTCGTCTCTGCATCTATACCTCTGGCTCTTCCCGCTCGCCACAATCTCTATGCTCATTTAAATCCCTACCCTGCATTTATCCCTCTGCTCTCGTTCTCCCTTTCTCCATCACTGGCTTTTCAGGAGCTCCCGCAACCAAACAGGCACACAAACACACACTCGGTACCTCACAATGCAATTATTAAAAAATGACTGTTTTGTGTCAATAAGTGAGGTCTCGGGGCTTCTTTCTAATCATGCCTCTCGTTTTGTGTTACAGCGGACACTCTGGCATTACAGGTTTATCGACGTGCAAACCTGAAGACAATTCTGGAAATCAAGCAGAACATTTAGAAAGGACGGAAAAACACTTTTGGAACATTAATCAGTGGGGGGAAGTGAGTCTTTGTTACTCGTTCTTCCTTTGCCGAACTCTCCTCAGAAGGTCAGAGGAGCATGTAACCGAAACAAGTGGAGCCCTCTGTGATTTCAGCATTCTGTCTCCCCCATCTGTGCCTACATTCGCCGCTACAGATAGGGACGTTTTTGATAATTACATGTAATTATAATTTCTGTGGGAGACAGATCTGCCTCTGTCTATTATTGCCAACACCTCCAACACAATAACTTCACACATTTACATATTTCTCAACAAAAGTGATATTCTTTGAAGACAAATCAGGAATAATTTTACTTAGAGAGACATGTCACATGGAGACAAAATGTGCCATTCAGTTCATATCTAATTAGTAAAACGGTTGAATGACACGGGTAACTTTTTGTGCCTAAAAGCTGAATAGGGAGCATTTATAATCTGTGACGTTTGCCTCACTTTACAATGTTTTTCACAGGCTGGGAGTCATTTTCTTGTTTTATGCTTACTCCTACATTTTAGCTGCAACCGTCTTCTAGCACCTAAACTGAGCCTTCCTCATTATTCATCATCGGCCAAATCACAGTAACAGTCTGTGTGGATGCTCAATAATCCAATCATAGACAAGATTGAGATAAAGTACACATTGTATCTACAGATGTGATGAGTGCCTAGAACCAGACATCATGGAGAAAGGTCTGTGTCTCAGAAGAACTAAGCATCATTACTGGCCGTTTTCCGTCAGTGGTGCAGTCTGTTAATCTCATGTGATTGTTTACAAAATACATGTTAAGAAATATAGATTTCATACATTTTTCAAGAAGGGAATTGCTTACAGCTTAAATAAGTGCCAATTCTGAATGTGCCAGACTGAAACAGTCGTCCAGGAATGAATAAAACAGATACAATTGTTTACATTTGATAAAACACTGGCCATAGACCATAGTTCAAGTGCCATGGTCAGTAAGAATGTATAGGACTGCCATATTTTATTGAAAATCCTTGCTACTCCTTTTAACTGGCCTTTTTGGTTACAAATTAATTCCATCCAGCAGTACGTCAGAGACTTGTTCTTTTGTTCAGCGGGAAGTGTGGAACAAGGCATTAAGGACTAAAAGCATGAAGATTGTTGTTTTCAATCTGTCCTTTTTACAAAGCCGCATCCATTTTAGTCTTCTAGACTTGAAAGGACAAAAGATGAAGTCATTACGCATTCAGAGTTCCTTTCTAGCAGTAAATTAAAACCATTTTAATACCATTATCGACAATTACTAAAACCTACCAACTGTTTTTTATAGTGGTAGACCTTTTCATTTGTATTTTTCCTGACCTTTTCTAATATTACTCCATATAAATAATCAGTTTCTACATTTCAGTGTCTTTAAATTTCATCATCCAACATTACTGAATGAAACTACTGATACATCATAAATATTCAGTAGGTCGTACATGCTACTTGAATATTTCACATGCCATTTTAGTGGGTTAAACGGCAAAAGCGGATACTGCATTGACTCAACAACAGAAAATAGATCTCTTAGTCATGTAAAAATGACGCCCACCACCAATCTTCGAGTCCTCGCTGTCTCCCTGCTCTCCCTCCTCACCGCCCCTCTCACCACTGTTGTGGAGACCTCTCCGTCCCCCCTTCCTCAGCAAATAGACCCCCCAGGGAGGCCTTTCACCGAGCAGTCAAAGACTAGCCGCGGCCCCCCTCTCCTGCTCCTCGCCATGCAGGCCAACATCAGGCCAGCTGCTCTTCAAGGCAGGACCAAAGCACCCGAGAAACTTCCAGAAGCCTCATTTCTCGAGGAGCTTCCGAGGCCCCTTCCCCAGGTCATGTTCCCCAAAAATGTGACTTCATCAAAGGCCCTTGCACCTCCCTTAGGCGCTGCCCAGGTAGCGCCCATACCACCCCGTTTGGTGGAGGTATGGATTGATGTATGTCGGGGTTATTATGACGTAATGGGACAAATTGACACCTCTTTCAATTGCTCCAAGGACTCGTTCATCTTTTGCTGTGGAACCTGCCACTACCGCTTCTGCTGCCCAGACCGAACCCGGCAACTGGATCAGGAAATTTGTAAAAACTATGACTCTCCAGACTGGGCCAAGCCACAGACAGACCCCATGATGTTACCAGATGAATTAGGTCCCGACCCAGACTTTGATCCACTAAAGCAACAGAGCCACAACACAGGCTTCGTCATTGGAGGCGTGATCGTGTTCATGGTGGCTGTCGCCGTGGGAATCAAGGTTGTCTTCAACAAGGTGCAACAGGAAGCTAACCAACGGGACCTCAACATGCCCAGGTGAGGCTTTAAAAAATGCTTTTCCATCCACTATCACTGCTGGATCTGTTACTTCATTCAATGTATGAATACTGTAATTTAGGTGTTCATGACTCCATAAATGGCCCCGATTCATCATTCTGGGCTCTGAATAATGTTGTTAGTCACCCGATGAAACATTTGATCTTCATCGAGTGGCTGCTGCAGAATTCATGGTTGTTTTGATCCCTCTGGGCTTTTTATCTCGTATAGGGCCTATGATCTTGGCAATAAAATATACATTTTGATTTATGTACAGGTTGCAATTTTCTATCTTTGGCTTCAGTAGTGGAGGATGATGGTTGTAGACTCATATGGAGGATTCGGATTATTCCATAAAAATGTTCCTACTAATTCATTTACTGTTAGTGTTATCATTGTAAACAAATTGGGGATTGTGAAAAAGACATACAGTATATACATATTTTTTAAAATCCTTATCAAGGTGTTTTCAAATAAAATTACCTACGTACACTTATCCTCACATGAATATGAGTAATCGGTTACCTACCAATATACTATCCAAATTAAAACCCTGTGAATAATATTGATAATGGCAAACGTATACGAAAATACTAGTCACAAAAGACTACTAAGCAAGTTTCATGAATTCTATGTTAAATGATCGTCAGCAGCCATTCGTTTATTTTCAGTTTAATCTCGTTTTCACTTTCTGCATGTGTTTATTTCATCATTAGAGCCCTGGTTGACATGCTGCGGCACCAGTCGAGCCCTGTCCAGCAAGATGAGAGAAACAACAGCGTGGCTCTGGCTGTAGGTGACGGGACTGGGACACTGGGGAGACCTCCGAAAAACCTCTACGCCCCAGGACTGCCGAGCAAAGACAACAGATGTGAGTGTTTAGGTTTTCTTTTTTTTACAGCGTTAGTGAAAAGCACAATCAGAGCTTTTGTAACTGCATCCTCTGAGTGCCGAGGCACAGCGTGTTTGTCACGTCTGCATGTGAATGCAGGTCGTTTTCTGTATCCCATAATCAAGATATCTTTATATCCATTGGGCATTATATAAAAAAATAAAAGGAATCTGAAGAGTAATGCTCTTAAAATACATATGCTTTACATGATGATGTGGGGACACTCTGTGCGTGAGAGATGATGTGAAGGTGAATATATGCAGATACAAAATGTCTATAGTTGCCTTGATCCTTTTATGTTAAAGGACCATTGAACTGGAAACTGCCTGACATCCATTTTGAGATGATTACCTTATGTTCTTTTGATTTGCAGTGGGAAATATTCAGCACAATTTCATCCACCCTTCAGGCACCAGCCCCAAACACACTGCAACTATCGGTAAGCAGCTGGTGAAAGCAGGCTCCCATGTAAATTACATGCAATCACCATAATGCTTAATTTACCTTGTTCTGTTTCATTTAAGCTCAAAAGAACTCTCATTCATCCCAACAATGATAATGATTGTCGGAGCTTTGGTTCCTTGTGTTGAGCTAAATTCTGACTGTCTGAATGTGCGCAGATTCACACACAGCTACGTGTGGCGCGCTATCTCCAGAGGACCAAATCTCATTTAACACGCTGTCGTTTTCTCCCCCTGTGGTCTGTGTAGAACGCACCCCCCGGATGAACAATGCTCAGCTGGCAGCTGGAGGCACCCTGCTTTCCAGTAAACACAACAACACCAAATCCCAGCCGGCCTTCCACCACTCCCTGCACAACCTTGCTCAGCTGCCGCCCTCCTACGAGAGTGCCACCAAGCCTGAGCTCAACCGATACTCCTCACTGAAACGCCTCGGTAAGTACCTTCATTTTCAAGACATTAGGACAAATGTACCTGCTGTCTGCCCCTGTCTCCCCTCGCAGCTGTTTCGTAAGTACTGCAGCACGGTGACACTCTTGACACTTTGGCATAAAGGGCAAGATGCGTCATAATGTGCTGATGCTATTGACTGTGTTGATAAACAACATTCAGAGACATTTTGTTTGGCTTGCAGAGAAAGGTCTTGATGAGTACTCGTCTGGTTACTGCACCACCAAGCGCCGGCCCCACACCGCCCAGCCGGCCCTCCAGTCCTCCCAGCACCACCTCCACTGGGGTGGAGACTACACCCTGAGTGGGAGAGGAACCCTTCCCCGGCACGCAGTCCGTCCCTGGATCCCGCCTCCGCCTTCTGGCATGCCTGCTTCACCCACACCCAATCCTTACCCTCTGGATCCCCCGGAGCCCCAGTACAACCCCAACTACGAAACTCTCTCCAAGCCCAGGAAAGTTAAACCCAATGACCAGCTGCTCAACATGGGGGACGTCCCAGGTAACACGGGGACACTGTCCAGGATGTCCAAGAACCAGCAACACCAGTACTACAAAGCCATGGTTGCCTCCAACAAGAACACCAACACGCAGACGCTCACCAGGCAGGGGAGAGATGGGAGAGATGGGAGGCAGGAGAGAGATGGGAGGCAGGAGAGAGATGTGAGAGATGTGAGAGATGTGAGAGATGTGAGAGATGTGAGAGATGGGAGAGATGTGAGAGATGGGAGGCAGGAGAGAGATGGGAGACAGGAGAGAGATGGGAGGCAGGAGAGAGATGGGAGGCAGGAGAGAGATGGGAGAGATGGGAGGCAGGAGAGAGATGGGAGGCAGGAGAGAGATGGGAGGCAGGAGAGAGATGAGAGAGATGGGAGGCAGGAGAGAGATGGGAGGCAGGAGAGAGATGAGAGAGATGGGAGGCAGGAGAGAGATGGGAGGCAGGAGAGAGATGGGAGGCAGGAGAGAGATGAGAGAGATGGGAGGCAGGAGAGAGATGGGAGGCAGGAGAGAGATGGGAGGCAGGAGAGAGATGGGAGGCAGGAGAGAGATGGGAGGCAGGAGAGAGATGGGAGGCAAGAGAGAGATGGGAGGCAGGAGAGAGAGGAACGGCAGCTCATGTCACCGGACCATTTGGAGGAAAGGATGGGGGTCGGTGGGATGGGGGTCGTAGATCCGTACGCCCACACAGGAGGGGCCGTCCCCACGCTGCCCCGCCAGCAGAAGGCCCAGTCCCAGCAGAACGTCTGCGCCACGCCCTCCCTCGACCGACACCACATGATCAAGATGAACTCTCACCCCACGTCCGGACGCGAGCAGGAGAGGAACACGCCCATGACGGGGCACATGAGCGCAAACATGGGCTGGCAGGGGGAGGCCCCCGGGGCGGGGGTAGTCATGGGAACGGGAACACTAGGGGGCCACAGCGCCAGGAGGATGGCTTTTGCAGCAAAAAGGCAGAACACCATTGAGCAGCTACATTTCATACCAGGAGGGGGTGGCGGGGGGTCGTCGGGGAGTGCAGGAGGGAGTCAGGGGATCAGGACGGGGAGCAAAAATGAGGTGACGGTGTGAGGTTTGTGCCTAATGTAGAGTTTACCCCTCATCAAAGGGATGGGAGTAGATCACCCTTCTGCATTTAACTATTAGATATATAACTACAAGAACTAGAAGTATAAAGTATAGTAACATTAGAATGTGTTTAGGCTATTCAAATTAGTGTAATCTAGTAATTCAATAGCTTAAATATGATTAATCGGTTAAAAATCTAGGTGGGGAATATCTGTACCAATTATGTGATAGCCTACGTCAGCCATATTTTGTAACAAAGTTTGCCATATACAGCGGTGCCATTACTTGTAGAAAGACTAAAAAGGGTGAAACAAAACCAACCGAAGTGTCGTTCATAATTTTGTTTTTATATGTTTTTCAAAAAGTACTCAGGAGCCATATTAGATAGGGAACAAGAGGATATATATATATATGTATAGAGATAGAGATAGAAGAGGTCGATGCAGAGGAGGAGCATGTAGAGTATTGTATCACAGAATTTAACAGAGAATTGAGCCAACTACCTGCTGGACTGTCAACCTGCTCAGCTCTCGCCAACATTGATTGATTAAACTGAACCTCATGGGTGAGCAGCCCGGTGGACCAGAGGAGCGGGAGTGAACCATGTGCCTGGAGAGGGATTTTGGAGATCTGATACTCAACCTCATCCTGACACAGGGAGACAAAACTTTGTGTTGCTTCCTTTGATGACGAGCGGCCGAGGTGGGGGCTGTTTGCGACTTGGACACAGCAGCCTGTTGGCAGGACTCCGCAGCTGATTTTAAAAGCGCGGACGTACCCACATCACCAATCTGACGCCTGGGTTGCCTAGTTTTCCATGTGACCTTAGATCCAATCCCCAGAGAGACTCACACTCTGGTCACTGTTACACTGCAGTAAGCTGACGTTAGATAACGTTATGGGTGATTTTCCCCCCTAACGTTCCCATCTATAGATCAGGACCTAACTAAGAACATTGGGCTACCAAATAATATAGAGCCATCTGTCACGTTATTACAAAAATATCTTGACAAAAACATAGACAAGCCAGGAGACGCATGTGTTCAGTTTACCAATAAAGAGGCAACTTGCTTTAATTGCAGGTTGTGAACGAGGAGCAAAGGTTTTTCTACAGAGCACAAATGAATAGACCGTGACGCAGAGGTTGCACTTACACAACTGTCCTTCAAAGCCATTTACGGAGATACAAAGAAAATACCACAGAGGAAGCTGGTCTGACAATCACCATTTTATTATTCTCACCAGGTGACAAATTACAAAAGGCAGATATTTTGTACAGTCAAAGGATTGGCTTCAGAGCAAGCCAAAAAAAACCTCTGAGTCAGGAGAGAGAGGGCGACCTGAGGCCTTCTCCTGCATGGCTCATATGCCGTAAGAGACTCGGATGATTAGGAAGCCCTCCCCTTCCTCAAGAGGAAGACCTTGCTGTATCATAACGCACTTCAGCCAGTATGAGTAAAAAAAAAAGAAAAAGAAAAAAAAGAAAAGAAAAAAAATGTTCATCAATAACAACGCTTATCAATACTAAGGGCTATCCTATCCTATATACTGTAGTATGTGATATCTGTGGTCCATATAAAATACTATCTCTTTCTCTTGATTTTGTGTTGATATTGTCATGTTGTATTAAGTATTAATGTGTACAAAAAACAAGAGCAATTTAAGCACAGTTCAAAGAGAAGCACAGAGACAAAAAAATTGTTTTTGCACAAATCTATCCCGATATTTGCACCTGATACAGACTTACTCTGTATCGTGTCCTCAAAGTTTACAATCTGTTCAAGCACGGCTGACAGAGGGACTGATCAATGGAGGGTATTGTATTGAGAGAAGATTTTTTTTATCAACATGAAATCAGAGATAATTTTGGCAGATCAAAGAATGAAATTGTTACTGCTTGATTTTTGTTCAGTCATATGGAAGGATACAGATATGAAATACTGACAAACAGGAACACAGATTTCATTTGGACAATCTTCCTATACACAGTGCTAAATGTAATTGTTATGAATATGATGGAGTGTTATTATTAATAATTATTATAACTGTTATGGTTATTATTAACAATTATCTTATGATGTGATGTTCTTTTACTTGGTGGGATTTAAGTGTTTATTGTTTTTAGATAACTAGAATTCTCATGACTAGTTTTTTTTTTTTTTTTCATGGTCATAAACATAAAAGTTTTTAAAAACATTCCAAATCTTGATGCATGCCAGCTCCATTTCATTGAGAGGCAGTTACAGAATGCCTGGATTTTAAGGTCATCGATGCTTTTATGGCCACTTTCTCCAGCTGTATGTACGTACTGTGCCTAGACATCGGCCTTATGACTTCTTGATCTCAAGTGAAATTAGGTTTCCACTCGGGTATTCAAAATATCTATTGAAAAAATCTGCAGCCTTCTAAACGTATGTGTAGACGACGGTGTCTTAACAGCCAGTGAGGGATAGGTGTGTTCGGGACGGGACAGACGTTTATTATCCAGACTGGAGGCGGTCTGCTGTCTCCACTACAGATGACCCCATAACATTGTGGATTGTACACACTGAAACCCATGATGCCATAATGTATGTGTGTTCGGATGAATGTTTATTACACAGGTTGGAGAGAAACGGAGCTCTGATGGAAACCTGAATGCTTTGAGTGTCTTTTTTCAGGGAAATAGGACAGTTGACATACAGTAGTATTAGATTTTTTTAATAGAGCCACAAAAGGTCTGTAGCAAAGTCTGTAAAATCTCACAAGCCATATCCATTGAAACTCATCAATCACAATTTTATAAATGGTTAATCTAATTTGTGCAAGTATTGTATTTTGTATAGCTAGTACAATCAGAATATTTTGAGTGATCTCTTCGACATTAATTTAAGGGTTCAAAAAATTATGTGTTAGTAGTTAATGAATTGTACAGTGCCAAACTCATAACATTTTGTTGTCTTTCTATTGCCATAGCCTCCTACAACACTAAAGGGGTTCTTTATTTTTCACATCTGAGAACTAACGCACAGGCAAGTTAGCTAAAAGAGCTAGTTATTAGAAAGAAATTAATGAATATTGTGTGTGTTTTTACCATTATGAATTCATTTTAGAGGGAGGATGGTTAATGGCCACAAGAAATGTAAAGCATTGCGAACAGTAAATTGTATGGACAGGGACCGTGTCCAGTATATCCGGTAATTCACGGATTTATTTTCATGACTATACATTTCAAAACTACCCTTTTGTTATTGTTCAATGCATTGATCCCCTTGGATACGACAGTGACTTACAAATAATTTGTATAATAAAGTTGGTGGAAAAAACGTTTTGTCTTTTATTATAGAGTTTGGGTTTCTTGCACTATGAATATAATACATTTTATTATTGTTATTAAATATTATAGTTCCAATCCATTTTTGTTTACCTGATATATGAATGGTCACTAATTACACTTCTTTGGTACATGCACATTGCTTATTAATATAACCAAACCATGCCACTGTCATTCAATAGTATTGGCAAATTAAATATTATTGTCTTGGTATGTGATATTTTTAAGATATTCCTCAACCATTAAGGCTTTTAAATTATTTTCTTGAAAATACATACTTAAAACAATATTAATATTATGTAACCTGGGCTGTATGAATTAAAATGATGACTTACTGAGAGAAAGATTGTACATTACATTTCGCAGGAGCAGATCTCCAAGTTCCTGGTTGCTGAACAATATCCTTCAAAGATTAAACAATATATTAATTTTCAGAAAGATGTCTAAGTTGATTGTTCACAGAAATATAGTACAGGAATTCCTACATTTTATGTGCAAGTAAGTGAAATTATGAGAATCCTTTTGAAAAAAAACACAATACCTGATAAACAACTTCTCTCTTGGTGCAGAAAATCTCTTCCCTGGAAAGTATTTAGTTGACAGGCACATTTTCAGTGGTGGTATTATTTGAATCCTCATATAAAAGCAAGTTATAGTTAGGATAAAGCTGTTTCTGCACAAAACTCCATCTTACTTGACATTTGCACACCACACCACACCATTCAATTAGTGGAATGCTCAGAGGAAATATATTGGGAAATTGAGATTCATAATAATCACAAGATGAATTCATATTTTATAATGGGTCGAAGACACAGTAGCTCTATGCTGACAAAAAGTCCTCTTGGCTTTAGTATGTTAGTGGACACAGAGAGTGGTGATAAAATCCCACATCACCAGGGTCTCAGATATTGTATAAACCACATTAAGGCTATACAGTGCCGGTGGGAGAGGACAATGGTGCTTTTAAATGAAATGAAAAGGCGAAATATGTCTTCATATATTTCTCAACTCGAGACCATCTGATCTGATGGCAGAGTTATATCATACTGTACCTGCTGGATCCACAGAGTGAGGGGAGGGCTGTGGAGCTCATATTTAAAACCTCCTGTGAATACTTTTATTGCACTGAAATTCATGAAGGCTTAAATAAAGGAACAGACAATGGCATTGCTCTGATACAGAAATAATGTGTACAGGAGGTAAACAAAGGGCACACAATATATTGTGTTTGATTTAGGCACTGGCTGCCACTGATGCATTACAGCCATTGTAATTTGCACATTTCACCACCAGGAGGTTCAGTGCACCTCTCTGCTCTGAGACAAAATGAAGCCCTCACTCAAAATGTCATAACTCAAAAGATAAACCCCACTGTCCACCACCTGGTATCTTTCATAATAATACATATTTTCTAGGTCATTGTTCACGAATTAAGCTCAGTTTATGTAGATGACTGGTTCTGAGGAAGACTTAAGATTTTCTATTAAAAACAAATTAATATTCCAAATGCAAATGTATGTGTTAGTCAAGGCTTTCGGGCCTTAAATGGTCCTGAGTAAAAAGATCCACATGCTCTGTGCACACCATTAGTATTCGGCTTGATTACATCCATACATATCAGCGAGGACCGCTGAAATTATTCAGTGGTGAGAAAAAGGATGGAAGCAACTCTAACAAAATCAAGAGCAATGAAGATGGCAAAGAATGGGGATTTTCTGCCAAGTTAGGCAGTGGATGGAGAAAATACTTGTTACAATAGACCTAATGTTTGAGAAGAACATTTTTAAATAATTTAAAACCCTATGAAATACATTTGGTTTATGCTCCAAAGATTTTTGTCGATATTTACATTTAGGGAAATTACAAAATGTCACTTAGGGTATGGAACAACCTTAAATAATAAAACATTTTAAATAAGGAATATATAAGACGATGGTTGAAAATGAATGACACAAATGTATATAAATGTATACAATCACACGATCAGGACTCCTATAATTATTTATTTAAGAGGACCAAAGTCATAACATAAATGTGTTCAAAACCAACATATGTGTTTATTAGTATTTTTTGTTGTGTTTATGATTTATCTTTTAATTTTTGTTTATCATGATGTAATGATTTATACTTTTACAATTGTAGGCCAGACTGTGTAGGTTCTTTTCATTATTTATTTCCTGAAAAAAGTGCTGTGTTTATAAGTTTAACGTACTAATTAAGACAATAGTGGAGGAAGTATTCAGATATTTTACTTAAGTAAAAGTAATAATACCAAACGTCCTGCAATGAGCAAAAGTATTCAGAAATGTTTTAAGTATTGAAGTTAAAGTACTCGGTGCAGAAGATGTCCTTACAAAAGAGTATGCCTCCTTATGTAGTGCTTTAGTATAGCCCATGGGCATGAATGGTTACATTGCACCTCTAGATGTTGATAAGTACTAAATATTGTACAATTCAAAGTAGCCAAAAGGCTTTTGCCTCCGTTTAACCCTTATTATATAGGTAATAAATAACTAAACCAAGGAAACATAATTATATGTTACACCTAATGCTATGTATTTATTAATTATAGCCAAGTGTAATATTCTCGTCTATGATAGGCCTATATAAACAACAGCCGTTATGCAAACAGGGGGGAAAGTCCTAAACCTCCAGCTGGGACTTGTTGACTTTAGATACATTTGGAAACAGTGTTGTAGCAGTGGAAATGGACACTGATGTATTTGTAACATTTGTGGAAGAGGAGTCCCTTTTTTTTTTTAACCGACGGTGCAGCCGCCCGTGAGCCCCGCTGGTGCTACCCGGAAATATTACAAGGGCCGGAAAGGACCGATGTTAAGGGAGCACACGTCACTCACTTTTACCCAAAAATATTACCACCGACCATCCAAAATTGTCTCGGCCGTCGAAATCTTTAATCTGAAGCTCCCTGTCGACGCAGACCGGTGGTAATGAAGTGAACAGACGGCGGCTGCGGTATCCTATGGCGTTGGTTTCTTCTGGGAACCGTGTAAGTGTTGACCCAGCTCAGCATCAGTGAAAATGGCTCTGGCTAAAGCCTGGAAAACAGCACGCAGAAATGGTAGCAGGCGATAGCTAGCTAGTCGGTTAGAAGAAGGCGTGACAGGCCTCATCCATCTGCAACTTTGCTCTGGATGCGTAGGTAAACATTTGCCGAATATAGGTTACGCATATGTATAAGCTAACGTTAGCATCGTAATGATAACGGTAGTCTGCATGCTTTTAATGGTGCGGTGTGGAAAGATGGCTAACGTTAGCTGCAGCGGCTTGGTGGTTTTCTAGATTGCGTGTGGCTGCAAATGGCTAAACACGCCGAGCCAGTGTACAATATGTTGCTAAGGAGAACCGTGAAGTTTTGCATGCAAGCGCGTCCAATGTTTTCCTTATTTTTTTCTTCGAAATGTTAGCCAATACTATTACAGGATGCCTCCTCAAAGTGCATCCGTTATTTCTTGCGCCTGTAAGACTCCGCATATGTTTACATAGTGCAGCGGTGTGTTACAGTGATGTTCATTTGAAGCATTTCTGCCTTTCTTCACAGGATTGGTGATTTACATTAAAATGAGAGACAGCCAAACATGCGATAGATTATCTCCCTCATCTACCAGGGGAGCTCACTCCCCACCAGGTGCATCGCATCGATTAGAGGAAACGGTAAGATATAACGAGGTGAGCAACACGATTCAGTGAGTGGTTTAAATGTAGCCAGACTACTTTCAGCCTGTTCACAAGTAGAGTAGTAATGGTACATTTTAATACAAACCCAAACTTACTGTTATGCAGGTAAAGACAAATGCATAATGCCACAGTTACATTCTCTTTTCAGTTTTGTTGTCTATAATAAGACGTTTATCTAAAGTGGATTAATTCAATTAAAATGTAAACATCTTAAATATTTTTGGTTAAATTATATTTACAATGTAATGTTGATGTCATTGCACATAGAGATAAGAAATTCAATAAAACAATATGTTTAGTATAATTAAGTGCCACATGTACATACAAATGAATCATTATACAGAATGAAATATGATTTGGACAATTTGCATTAGAAATTGATGCAACCTTAACAGGCCAGTCACCCTTTAAGGTATTACACGGAACAGATGCTTTGTAATGACCACTTTACCTACTCAGGTTATTGAGCGCTATTCATTTAGTAAGCAAATACTATAATTAGAAAATACTGAGACTGAGCTAAATCTTTGTTGGCCTTTGTCACAATTTAATAATAAGTAAACTAAAACAACAATTAAAAAAAGTCAATCATTTACATTATGGTTAGTATGGGGTTATTACAAAATGTGGACCAGAAAAAACGTCCTTGTGGTAATAATTGCAACTAAAGATTTGCAGAATTGTTACAGCACAGATGGTAAAATGTATCATGGACGCCTCCAATGTAAGTAGTGGGTAAAACATAAATAATCAGTTGTGTACAAGCACCTTCAGTTTACAAAAGAACGGCATCTGCTATGCAATGTGGTTTTTCATGAAACATTGCTACACCTCTCTTTACTCAATAAGCACTTGGTCCATGCAGATAGTCACATTTACTGTACAGATTACAATGTGAGATACTGTACATCACAGAAGTGCTTCAACATATAAGCATTAAAGGGATATGTAAGTGTGAGTATAATTGGGGGATTACCTCTAAAGTAGCTTTTTTCCACTAACCTATATGGCGGAGGCCTACTATTATAAACAACTATATGCATAGACGGTAAGAATAATAAAGGTAACTTTAATTGAATATATTTCTTAACATATTGAATAGTCTGGAAAAGTAGAAACATCTGTAGAGAGATACCCTAAATTGTTGAGTTTTGCTGTCTTCACCCTTCAAAAACTGAAAATGTAGCAGGGCAGCTATGAACCTTTGAAACTTTATGTAACATAAAATAATGTTGTGGTATCATATATATATATATATATATATATATATATATATATATATATATATAT